GGCACCCGGGCAGTATCTCAGACTACACAAAAATTTAATGAAAATGGTGTGGCGCATATATATTTGGTGCCCCCTTGTACCAATATTTATGTGTTCAAATAAATAATAATTCGTTTGCAGTGGCACAGGTGCATACACTCTTTGTGTTCGCCCAAATTCTAATATTCTGGATTCTTCATGTCCCTTTTCTTCTCTTTACGAATTTATTTCACTGGATTATAACCCTAATATTTCCGATTACTGCTTATACTCTTACTACCTCTACCACTACGGGATTTGAATCAACAATTATATTTGTGTGCTAATGTGGAATGGCAACTCGAACTGATGTACGTACGTAGGAAGTTCTACGTTGACACTGATCTATACGTTGTGTTTACACGCGAGACTGTAGTGGATTGGTTCAACCCCTGTCCAGTTCATTGGTCTGCACTACTGAGGAGTTTCATACTACAACGAAACAGCTGTGCGGCGCTTCCTGGTTTGTAACAGTTATCTAACTAACGTCAGTCAGTGATGTAATTATAAGAATTTAGCGATCTTTACTAACTTCCATTACTAATATTAAACAGAGAATAAATTTGTATAACTTATATAACAATATCAAACACGATGATAAATGTTGTACTGAAAAATCACAAGACATAATATCCAACCACTGATCGTAAATTCCTTACAAATTTCACTATAAAACAAACGTAAAAGTTTTCTTGTGAAGAATGATAATAATAAATTCTTGTGGGGCATCACTATCAAGATTTAGCATGATGATTTCAAATAAAATTGGATATTGAGCGGAATGTTCATAGTAATGAAATGATATCATACTTATAATAGAGTAGTAAATAAGAAAAAGTTTCTGAAGTTAATTACTCTTTGAAGGGGTGACTTGTTACAAGTTATAAGTAGTCAAAAAATCGATGTTTTACAAATTGATTCATTATAAATATACTATAATTTCTATATATAAAAGTATTAGTAAGTCATACATTTGGAATGAATCTAAGTAACTATTCAAATACAAATATAATAATTGTAAACTTCATGAAATGGGTGTTTACATATTGCTTTAGATAAATTAATATTTTTTGTGTTTGAATATATATATATATATATATATATATATACTGATTAATTTACTTTATTGTTCAGGTTACCACAGAAACTCTATGACAACAGCTCGTGTTCTAATTAGGAAAGAAAGAAACTAAAACAGAGGAAAAAGAACAAGATACAATTACAATTTTTTATAATGTTTACTGAAGGTCATTCAATAATAACTAGACTCGTTTATGAAAGATAAAAGATACTCATCTTTATATGTAGTTATGTATGATTACATTGCAATCTGAAAGTTGAATAACACAAAAAATGGAAGAATGAATAAAGTGATTAGCATATGAAATTTTAAAAGTTGTTTTTTATTGTTGTTGATTATTTAAATGTTAAAGAAAGAAAGAAATAAACAAGTTCGTTACGGAAATTACATATAAATGATATCCATGTAAACAATTAGTACAAGTTAGTAAATCACTGAATTAATAAATATTATCAACTAGTTAGTGGATTACGGTTTAATCCAAACTTTAGGTTGTAAAAACAGTTTCAAATGAGTAGTCAGTATAGATAGTGTTATAATGACAAGTTGTTCATAGTGGTCATTTGAAAGAAATCCGGAAAATAAAAAACAGAAGTGGGTTTTGAGTGAATCCATGTTCAATCATACGACATTGAGCAAAAGTTTCTTACAAAAATAATAAACTTTGCTTCAGGTAGTTGCTACGTCACCTAACTTTATTCTGTTTATAAGTTGCCAACAATAAGGACTATAGAAGCAATGCGAAACCAGCTTAACAAGAAAATACAGATTTATGTATATTACGTAATGTGAAATGTTTCGTCACAATGCTGGTGATTCCACTCAACTATATCATTCTATTAAGATAGATCGTGGTGTTCAAAACTGCAACTTATTGAATGAAAGCTTAGTGCTTAAATTATTAAACCATTGTTAGATGTCAATCAACACATAACAAACAGTATGTCGGTAAAGTGACAGTTAAGTAATCGGAAACCAACAATTGTTTTACATGAATAAGCATGTTATTTGGCTTTCAAATGTAAACGAAAATAAAATTTCTTCAAACGATTGACCGTTTGTCAATTCGGAAGTTTTCTTGTTAGAAATCGTTTCATACAGTTTCTCATAAACGTTGAGGTATTTAATTGATTGCCACTCGTCAGCATCTGAAATTTGGAAGAAACTGATATTTTCCACGATATTCAAACCCATATTATCCTGTATCATAATCATTGCCAGTGATCCATTATATTCTTGAATGGTTGTTTGTTATTATACCATAGAGTCACATAAAATATGTCATGTCTTGAAGGATGACACAAGGAGACAAACATAACAATTATAATTAATTTACTGAAAGTTGGTTGATAAAAAAATGGGAGCAATCTCAAGTAGTAAATGCATACAAATAATGACTTTTCCTGTTCACTTTGAATTATGAATTTTTATAAGTAGACGATTTTATCATGTAACAAATAATGGTAATTACACAAATACATGTTGATAGAGTGACTTCAAGTTACAGAATGTTCGATACTTGTATCACGTAATATCAGTAGAGCAGTTACTTTCTCTATGAATAAGAAAAATGGTCCGTTGGTTAGTAAAATCTTATGCAATATTTATTGATTGATAAATAAATCCGGATTCAGTAACTAATTGGATAATGCAACAGCGTTCGGAGCGAAAGGTACTGCGTTCGAGTCACGTAGTGAGTATAAACTCTCGAATCTAAGTACATCCAGACGAGTCCCAAATAGAGAAAAAGACGTACATCCTGGATTACACCGCTAGTCACCATCCGTCTCTGTTTACAAATAACTTTTAGCTTACATTGTTTACTAATAATTATTGGTCACGGTTGTAACGTAACTTTTGAAATAAATAAATGGACATACAATTATTTTTATTATTATTTACTGAATAACTTTTTTGATACATAAAATCTTATTCATTTTATGAAATATAGTAACAATTGATCCAAGAATACAATGATAGGGGTTTATAAAACTCATCAAATTAAGTTTGAGTGTTAAGACTGTATTTTACTGGAATTGGTTTTCATGAGGGTTCGACATCAAATGATAGGAATATTAGGAACGAAGATGACGTGAACAAACTTTCGTCTACGTTTAGGATGCCTCAGCAATACGTATACACGGCCTCGCAAAATCACCTTGAGAATTGAAACGCAATACGAATCTAATGTGCTAAACTTTCCGTTCAGCTGCATATAAACCCAAAAAACTGTTATAACATACTGGCCGGATTCAATTACAACACGGTAATAATCCAAAAAAGGTTTAAAGTATTCACAGAAGTTTGAGAAATTGCGACAGAATTGTATAGTGGAGACGAATTCATTTAAAAATTGCATGAAGAGACAAATAATTAAGTAAAAACTGAATAACTTGGAGGACTAGAAGATAATCACGACGACGGGACCCAGTGGAAAGTCACATCACCAAGATGCGATTAGAGCAATGATAGAGCCTTCTTTTTACGAAAGTAATCCGATTGTATTTTCTTCGTCGAAAACCAATGGAATCCAGTTCTTTTGTTCACTAATTGTTCTTGTAGCCCTTCAATTTGGCTTTAACTAGATCGTACGAATATGCAATGAACATAAATCGCTTTTATAAAAACAGTCAACTTTAATAGGCGAATGGCTAACAATGTCAAAATGTGATGTGAATAGAATGAATAAATCGGTCTGTCTGGGGGCTTGAATAAACCATATGGGATTGACGTAGGTACCAGACATTATAGTTTTGAAGGGCTTAGAAACGTGAAATCCATGGGAGCTTGAATGCTGTTAGAAGTTAAAAGCGACCAAACCAAAACGTGACGTCAGTGCTTGAAGTCACTAACTCCTGGTCTGAGCCATGTTGGTAGATGCAGACTATTTCGTTGGGGTCCGCGTGACTATCGTAATCAACGGTTGGAGACTGGGTTACATGGCTCAGAATCCATGACAATGGTGTAGGTGTATACACTCTTTGCCTTCCGTTAAGCCAGGAGATAAAATTACTTTACACCTTTCTTCCTACAAACTAATTCTTTTCTGTTTCATACTTTTATATGCAATCTTTTTTATATATACTACTACCATTGGAGTAACTAATTCTATAAATTTGGTGTTCATTTTGTTGTGCTAATGAAGTGTGGTAACTTCGACCGATGTATATATGTGCCTGATCCTACGTTGTAGACGACTGACTGATATGAGGGATATTAAATAACGGTGGAGCTAGTGTGCCGTTATGAACTTTAGCATCTATGATCAACGAGATCTTTTGAATGCCGTGAGAAATACGGACGAAAATTCATCTGGCTGTGATGAGTTCACTGTCATTTTAATTAAATGGGAAATACAAAATACCGAGACATAACTGATACAGTCTTTAATATAGTAGATTATTGCTTTAATCCGCCAAGGAATAAACAATTTATAGTTCGAATTTGCAATACAATCGTAATTTATGACTGAAAATCTTAAACGGGATAAACAAACATCGATAAATGGTAATCCGCCCGTTTATTTTACGCTACATGATGGTCTTATTCATAGAAGCTAAGCCTACCGAACTTTGGGTAGCCAGGTTAGTATAATAGTTGTCTTATAAACTAGTACCGTAAAATTGTACATAAATAGTGAGTTTGTGAAATGATATTGTTTTGATCAATATAATGATCAAACAGTCGATCGAATAAACATAAAACCATAAGAATAACTGATTATTTAATTAACAAAACAAAAAAACACATCCACATTTGACAAATATAAAAATGAGCTAAGACGGAAATAAAACATATTTAAAAAACAGAACAGAATAATATAAAATAACGGTTTTCTTGGATACATCGATAAAGAACCAGACTATACGAATAACCACAAAAACACCAATAAATAATGTAATCATGCTAGTTTAGGTTTCCCTTTATCACTGTTAGAACTCGTAACATTAGAAGTAGACCTTGACTGAAAATTGTCATCAGTCATTTGACTAAATTCATTGATACGTGATTTGTCTACCGGATAAAGCCTGAAGAGAAACAACAAGTAATTTAAGACGGAAAAAAATAAATGGTTACATCTGGAAAAAAGTGGATATTTTAGCAATAATTCAATAAAATTATCAATTTAGGTGTTGTGGACATTGTCAAGTTTTTGATTGAGATCATGAACCGATTGATGTTAGATCACCATAGGACGAAACGGCCGTCCAGTGCTTCCAGGTTTTCAATGGTGGTCTAACATCAGTCAGTTCATGATCTCAATCAAAAATTCAATAAAATATGGTATTATATTTTCTTTTTATATTCGACTATTGTTTGTACAAAAAATTCAATAAAATCACCAATGACTTTACATATCTCACATGACCTTAGATCATTAAAACTAATAATATTATTTATTACATTTAATATTATGGAACTGATCAATGAACTAGATTAACCTGATAAGAGTCTGCTCTAGGGTTATCCACTGAATCTGACATATTGAAAAGTAGAACTTAGAAAAGCTGCTTTAATACTGATGGGTTGTAACTTGAGGTACTAAACTACTGTTATGAAAGATTGGTTAAGAGAATACGTGAAATGGTAGATACATGAAGATATAAATACCAATCAAATACTTAGTTAGAAAAGAGGGTTATTCAAATGCAATATACAAATTCACCTTCATTTTTATTGACAAATTAGAATCTTATCTCCCATAATACCTAGTTCATATTGAGTTTTATTATTCGTATTATGCATAAAACATCTTACATGTTAAATAACTATCGAATAGAAAAATAACCCAAGAAATCCTAATATGAAACAAGACCCAACCTGTCGAATTAAAAAACAAATAAATATAAAGCATACTAAACTGACATACCACCGTTGATATAAATAGATTAAAAATATTAAGTCATCACGTAAACAAGCAATACGATGTGATGTAGGCATTACGATAATGAATGCGAAAAAGTCATCAATAAAAGTATTGAATGCCTGAAAAATGTAAAAGCATAGAAAATAAAGACTGATAAGTTCCCTTTTTAAGAGAAAATTGATGAAAACTAATAATAATAATAATAATAATAATAATAATAATAATAATAATAATAATAATAAACATTTGAAAATTATAGGACATATGAATTAAAAGTATATTCAATCTGAAATCGATTTCAGTTAGAGAACCAGTGAAAACCAAAGAGTACTTGGATAACTATTTCATTGAAGCTTTATGAACTTAACAACATTTTATACATTGCATATCACACGGTAAGTGAGGGAAAACAATGTTTCTAAAAAGCTCACTGAAAGTATGACAAATTTTGGAGGATGTAACCAATTAATTTTATTTATTTATTGGATTTAATTTCGAAACACACTTCTGATGAGAAGATTGGTGATGTTGTTTGGGTACCAAAACCGAATAGAATTGATTGTACGACAAATAAAGCTATATACTTAAGAAAAATTTTGAAAAAGCAGAAATGACGCTTTGCAATCCTGTGAAAACTGTTACTTCGGAAATTATAGGATCTTTTAAGTTATTAATAATACTTACTTTGTAAGTCATTGCTTTCCATGGTAAATGTGCTACAGATTTTAATCGATAGTTGAGGAAAAGCTGAGGTGTCATTAATAGTAATCCAAAGGCGTAAACACCTACAAAAGGATAATAACATTTATTGATAAATAGGTGAGAATACTAAGTTGTCGACAAAATACCGGAAATAATAATAATGCGCACAAAAAAAGGAACATGATGAAGTGACACACTACGTCAAGTAACTAATTGATTAGAATATGATAATTTCAAATCTAGGACGCGATCGACCCAAAGTGCACTGATTAAGCGTATCATGAAGTGAAGAAAACTGACTCACGCTTAAAATTAAACCTTTAAATATAAAGTATTTACAAAACAAGTAATATCAGCTTACAGCCTTTCAAGTGTTGGTGTCACACTTAACGTAAAAAGAGGGGAGATACTGATTAACTTTACTCACGTTATCGGTAGCTCGTCCATGCCTTATTGTGCTAGTATGCCTACATAAAGTCAGAAGTGATTATTAGTGGGAACGACCTCATTTCGTTAGCTCTGGATACCTGATGAATTATGGCCCGAATGTGAAAATATACAGTAAGACCGACCTACTGTTTCAACTTCTATACTGTACGTTTGATAGCCGATGAATACAGATGAACATAACCAAACAGGAATTTTAAAAAACGCCTAAATGCTGATTTTTTGGATCACAAATGCACTGGATGGTGTGAAAGGAAGCAATAATCTAGATAGATTAGATAGAAGCCACTGTATCACTCATATACATAAATGACATGTGTAAGGTACATTACAACGATTCGAATGTTTACTACTTAATGAGTCTGAAGAATGACTTGAAAAAAGCAGAATGTTTCGCTCTAATCTCAAGTTCAATAGATTACGGATCTAAAGGATTAATATACATATCTCAAAATCAAAATTAGTTGAAGTCTTGTCCACAAAAACAGTAAAATATACTTTCAGGAGTAAGTAAGTAAAATCTCTCCTGATTATGTTTTCTTAAAAAGTATTTTCACACATAAGTTTTATTTTCATCATTAAAAACATCCTTTCAACAATCTCTTTACTATTGTAATTACTATCAAAGAGCCATATACATCAATGAGTCTACAGTTCAGAAAACATGATAGTATTTGTGATGATAACAGAAGTCGAAAAAATCCCTAGAAATATTCATCTAAATATTTATTAACTCATCACTAATGATAAAGTAAAAAGAATGGTTACTAAAATCAAGCATAGCACTAAAAAAACTAATTTGTAAATTTTGATTCAGTGGGACAATTGAAACTTACCATTAACCATAGTCTCTAAACACCAAGAGTACCAGCTAAAAAGAAATAAACCATGAAAAAGGTATCACAAACGTAAAACAATAATACTATTTCTACAATATTCACAGACAACTAGATCAAAAGAAATAAATGGATAAGTATAACAAATATTTAATAATTACTAAAACCCTATCCATACCATTTAATGAGAATATAGTAAAAAAAGAGACCAACAGTAATTATCAAATTACCTACCTTCGATGTGGTAAATAAAATAAGGAATAAATCGAACCACCAATACAAAGAGGAATCATAATATACATCAGCCAACTCATAAATTGTGCATCTAATTGATCAGTTGCTTCTTCCTCCTTCGACCGTTTACCCCATCGGACACCATGATAAAAACTAATAGAAAATTTAGTCATTCGACCTAACTTCCACAATTCTATTAAAGTAGATATTCCCATTGGAACAGAAACTAGTAGGCTACTTTTCTCCTCCCATAAATGTAGAAATATAATCAAGGAACTGACGAATCTCCAAACAACTGCATTTCATCACGTAAAAAAAGAAAGATAGAGAAATTATGAACTAAATAGTAGGGAAACAGAAGTTGAATCAAAAACTTTTTACACCCCATGGTATAGCCAATGGTGGCTAAGTAATCAAAACAGTCAACCTTTAATCACTAAGTAGCAGATTCGAATCCCGCTACACCGAAATGAGTTTGAGTTGGATATTAAACTTGGCATCATTAGCTCTCAGAAAAATTAGTGGAATACTTAAACATGTAATCAGTGAGTGAGTCCCATCAGTTCATTGTAGCATAGCTCAAACGAACTGTGTCAATGAGAATTATGTTTTTTACGATGGGTAATGCACTTAAAAAAAGTTTGGAAAATGAGAATACATTCTGACTACTTTTAATCTGTTAAAGGAACACAAAAATATAAACTAAGCGATAAAAACGATTAATCCCATCCAGTAACCGATAGTAGATCAGTTTTCTGAAAGCCATATATCAGATTCGAATTCCGCTGGTATTACTCCACCGTAAAAACTTAAGTAGATGGAGTAAGGTTTGCACCCTTAAACCAATAGCTGAGATTAGTCTCTTTAAGAACTAATGTCTCACTCCAAACGAGTAATAGGATAGAAATCAGATAACACTTGTAAGCTGGTAATATACAGACTCCTCTTTTCAATACTGCTCCATTATATTAAGTAGCGACGTATTTCTAATATGCAGAAACTTTGTCCAATTGAATTTTACCATAGTAATTTGGTGGAGGATAATAATGCTGATTTGGTTTCTACTATATTACCGAAAATAATCATACCCTAAGGTAGAAATACATTAAATGTAGCACATTTTACTCAGTTTGTATTTCACCGGTAAGTAGATTTTAGCAGTTACGTGCTATGTGCAAAACATATAAAAATAATAAAATTAAAGTGTACTTAGTTCCTGCTGTACCAAAAAGATAAACCCACTAGAAATCTAAGTTTAGTTGTTATACTACTTTCTACTTGATAATATTTTTTCATATAAATACTACTGTGGTATGTTATCCAGTGTCGCAGAATAAAAAACTATGATCTCTTCGCCTCATTTGTTAACCAAGAATTATTTCACCTGTATATAGACGCGAATCAATTGTCAATGAATAGTGTGACGTTAAATTGTTTTCATAAATTGAGAAAAATCTGGAAGTTGATGTAAATGTATTCTAAAACAGCTTTACAAATTCAATTAAAAACCGCTCTTATTATTTCTAGGGAAAAAGGCGAAGGAACTAACAAAATATGTGATAAAAATATTCTACAGTCTAAGTGTAAAATAAGCAATTGGAAAGTTGAAAAAATTCAGTCAAATTGCTTTCAGGGGATGAAATTTCACTTAGATTTTTGAGATACTTAAAATAATTAACAGGACATACATTTACCTACTTACTAGTTCGTAAAGAAATTCCAACTGAATTATCTGACCGACGCCAAAACGAAATATCATTTTTAAACGCCAGAAAACTGAACAACAACTAGAGTCATTTAAGGGATACAAAAATTTATTTGAAGGAGCATTTAGTTCACGATTCAAATTATGAAAAGTACACGATAAAAGTGAAATAAATAGTCACATTAAGCAAACGCAAATAATAAAGCGATCTATCATCTTCCACTAGATCACAATTTTGTTAATTCCATAAACAATTAGGAAGACAAATGACACTGAAACGTCATAATATGGGTAAATAATGTTTAATGGAGAAAACACAGAAAATCCTCGCCTAAAAGTATATAATTCTGTATACGAGTTATATAAAAAACGGTAACACTGAATTCTTTGAAAACCTGGAAACTGATAAGAGTTAATATGGTTTACAGATTTATACTACTTCTAAAAAAATAAGTATCAAAATAAGAACTTTTTGAATAAACACGAACGAGGATTTACATACTCAACAATAGCATAAGATAAAAACTGACGAAAGAAGAAAATCAATAGATAAATAGGATATGGGTATAGAATCAAAAATGAAAAAAAGAATAGTTTACAAAACAAATCTTCGTTGATAAATTTCAATCAAACTAAAGATCACCCTAGGAATAATACACCTTATCCCACGAACTTATGAACCCAAAAAAGTCAGATGGAGACATTTTTACCTCTAAAAGCATACCTATAACAAACTAAAAGAATAGGGAAAACAAGCATCGCTAACGAATACTACTCGATTCAAACGAGTGATATGACTCTAATAGTAGTATTCTACTGAACGATATTCAACAGGTTTGTACATCTCTTTAGTATGCTTTTTGATAACAAACGCCACATGGTCTATAGACAAACAGATCCGAGTTAAGTTCAATGCAAGGATAAACATTTGATCGAAACATCAACGCACAGGTCTGAACCTTGATCATGTTCATCGGGTTCGCAGTTACTAACCTTTAGCCAAGCACCCACCGATTAAAGGTAATATTTTAGATATTCAAATAACCAAAGTGATTCACTTGTTTTTATCATGAAATTCTTGTCCTTGTGTATGTATCGAGGTAACTTTCTGAATGAAATTGAGTTCAGCTAACAAACTAGTTAATATCTCAGTGAGCCTAAGTGACAAGTGTGGATCCCTGACATTACAAAAAGCCAGAGTTGACTAAGAGTATGCTATTCTACTTTACCTTGTGAAAATTTCACAAAACCGCTGAGATAAATGTTAAATATCGATTTCCCACTGTCTGTTTGTGAATAATAGCCGACTGAAGTGTAATTGTGGGCACGCAGATAAGAAAAGAGGTGACAATAGAATCAAGGTGCTCAAATATTAGAAGCTGATGCTACTTTTAAAACAATGACTTAATTAATTACCGAAATATTATCGTCGAAACAATAAAGCCATGTTTTCAATAAAATAATTATGAGTATAGTGAAATCTATAGGAGCCTAACAATTTACAAAGTTTCTAGAGGCTAGTAACTACAATGAAATGAAAGTGGACGAACAAGCTGAACCACTACTCTATATGATCAAAACGAACATCACAACAATAAACAATAATTTACGAGCAGCCTACTTTACTAGATTGATCCCAAGAAATACTTTTAGGTTGTATGAATCAGTAGACGAAAAATACTAAGAGTAGCTGAAGTCACTTGTATTTTAACATTTAACTACGTCATCAAAATTGACTCAGTTTACATTTTGTAAACAGTCTATATTTCTGTAGGAGTATGAGAATATAGAAACCAACACTTAGATCACAGTTTTGTAAATTATTTAATGATAAATAGTGTGCGATTTTAGAACTTCGCTTCCATAACGCTACCAGCTAAAAGAAATTACACGAACTGAACTTACATGGAAAACAGAAACAAATAATGTGGTCAGCAGGAGGTATAAATTGGTGTCAAAAAAAATACCACGGATCTCGTCAATCTCCTTTGATTTTATACCTATAAAAATGAAAAAGCATTACTTACATTGATGGACATTATTAAAGATACTGAGAGTTACACATAAGTTATTAAGAGTACATCTGAAAACTATCTTACATGTACAGACCAACGGAAAAATGAAGACACTTAAAAAAACCACGACGTCAGTTCCATTTAGATGCAAAATAACAGTACCAATCATATGATTTCATAAAACATTAGATCGGAGTTAACTCGACTGTTTATCCTTTAATAAGAGGATGTAAAATGAAAGAGATCAAAAGGGATACTTAATAGTAATGCCGAAAATATATTAACTAGATACGATAAATCAAGAGGGAGCCCCGAAACGGTGACCTATTAACTCAAGGTGAATGGAAATGTTACTTACATTTTGAAATTCTCGTAACACAACTTAAAATTCTAAATGTGAAAATTCAAATTGTATGCCATTCGACAGTCTAGTACATATTTGTTTTTATAATCTCCTACAATCAGTGTAATGAGTGATGATACTTCCGTTTGGTTTCTTTATAAGCAATGTTTTTGTATTCATGCAACGAATCGTTCGATTTCTAACTCATTCAGACTTTGTTTTTTTTATTAGGGAGTCAGTAAATTTTCACATCTTCAGATGAGCGAGACCAATGAGTTGGTTAAAGCCTCTCAACTATCCCTTCATTGTGTTTTTTATTTTAGGAAGATCTGCAACAGAACTGTGGACGTTCCATAGTACAATCTAGAAGAATGAATGGTGGCAGTTTCTGCCTTTTGTTGGTTTTCAGATCCAATTATTTTTAAAATAATTTGTCAAATCTTTGGTTTCTCTTTTTTCAACGGAGAATATTGACTATTAAACTATTATATCCTGTTGCATGTGACCGACAAAAAAATAACGCTAACATATGACGGATCTCCAAAACAAAATTATCAACTGACTTATAACGTCGTTGAGTTTGGTGATCGGTGTAGTTTTCGCCATATATAATAGCTCAGATCGAGCAAGTAACTTGGTTGTTCAGTATTTGGATATACTTGCCGAAATGTTAATAAGGCTGAATATTCTTAATCGGTTATGACAAATGACAAACTTAAAGCCAGGCGCATTTCGTTAAATGTGAGCAAATTCGTACTTTTGTCGTTCATTAGAATATAAAATAATGGAATAGTCGTATTAAGTTTCATGGTAAGAAGTATGCACACCAAAGTATATAAAGGTGGTGATCTTGTATGTTACATCGCGAATACCAGTGAAAACACTTCACTAACCATTCCGGATTCTGAACTGCAGAAAATGTTAAGAATTTGTTTTTTGTCCTGTTTGTTATGTACAAGGAAATTCGCTCTTTCCACAGCCGTCTTACATTCGAACAGTATTTACTGTACAAAATAAACTTCGATTTAGTAAAGACGATTGATAGTGATTGTTTCACTTAAGCTGTGAATTCAGCTGACACTAAATACGACAAACCAGCAAGTACGATAGCTACGACTTGATGATTCGACTCTGTTAATGAAGCTATTCAGCCTTATATTTTATTGGCTACTTTTCTAGCATATGCTATGTCTTTATTTAGAGCAAAACTATATTCCATCAGCTACTTCGTGGTAACTTCATATTTAGTATGACAAGGTAACCTGGGTTTCCCCGCACAATATTCCATACCCTTCAAAATTTTATAGTGAAGTAATCCCTATTTTCTGAAGGTGTGACAGTTCGCTTCCAAGAAACTGAGGTCTTTGTTACTTTCTACACCGTCTAACTACATCATGGTAGGGTATAAAAAATTTAACCCTGTATCTTTAAATATGCTTCGCATCACTTCGGAAACCTTTATCGAGGTGGGACTTTTTGATGCTTGGTTTTACCTCATGATATTTGGCCAAACAATGTATTAATGGTATTGTCATTAAATTATCAAATCTGCCTTTTGATGCACGTTCTTATTAACATACGCCATTTCTCATCCCTCTTACTAGAACAAACCACTTGATTAAGTCAAATTATTTGTTGAGTAAGTTTGGTCTCCATTAATAGTCTCATGAAAAGTAGTGATTTTGACTGAAAGATATGCTAATACCTGTGATGACATATGATTTATAACCCAAATCAACTACAGTAACTCAGTTATTATCAACCCTGTAATTTAAGAGTAATTATCACCAGCAATAATAAGCTTCTAAATTCTTATCAGCCAATCTATTGCCGTCCTGGGTAAAAATTAGTTATAACACCTTTCCCATATCGTCCTTCCGTAGAATCTAACTCCATGTTATACGGATTCAGCATCATGAAGCAAGAAAATTAAGAGGTACCACCATAAGTCCTCATTAAACACCAAATATTGTTCATCTTTTGTGTTACAGGATGGATAAGAATGTTTGCCGAATGCCAATTAGTGTAATAAATATGCATAAATATTTGTCCAAAAACTAAGGTAGGTGAGTAGTTCATGCTAAACATAATATTTACTGACTGACGTTTATCCTATCAAATAGTATTCTTGATAATATCTTTATTTGTACCAAATGGATATACCTCAGATGTTTCGCTGTTGTTTGGACAAATTATACAGCATCAAGTCCTCTGTAAATTAGACAAGACTGTGTAGATTGAATCAATTTTTGAAGTCCGATTAGGTTATTAACCTAAATTTTAAGCATTTTCAGATTTAGTCTATATGACAGATTTATCAGCGTTACTTATGAGCGATAAACTAAAATTAACAAACAAACGAGTAAAACGTGACTAAATGCTTCTCACATTATTTATTCGATGTTAAAGGCTACCAATTGAGCATACAGGAGTCAACCAGAGTATTTCTGTTTCGATGGTTCTGACGTGAGTGAGGTGCGTGATATCTTCAAGTTATATTTTTAAAAATTTAAGAGACTTGTAAACGAAAAGTTGATATCAGCTCTGAAGATGGCTGAATGCAACAAATAACTTTCATTTTCCAAAACACTAGTCTAATTTCTCTTAGCTTTGAGCCTACGATTCTTCGAACAAGAACTGGAGAAACAACATACTTTTGATTAGGAAGTGATGTATTTGGAATATGCAACTGAATCTTAAGAATTATGAAACAACCTACCATAAGAGAGTAACTGATCAGCCACTGACTCCAACATACACCGCAAGCGCAAATGGCCAATCGAAAGTGGTTCAATGGATAAAACCATTTCTAATTGACGATTTTCAGATGGTTGGTTGACTTCTAACCAATCATTTGAGGCTTGGAAATTTGGGTTAATATATATCACTGGCAAATACCCCTTTGAGCTAAGCTGAATACGCCGAACTATTTCAGCAGGCACATTATATCGACTGAAGGACACTGGGGTTTGAAGAACATATACACGCAGTGTTGATAGCCAAAACGGTGCAAGCAGACCATGATCCTTGTTTGAATTGTTGGGTGAGCCCTGCAGAAGAATTCATAAAAAATAATGACTAAGAACTTATTCAAACTCCGCGTAATATATTTGAAGTACTAGGAACATTACTTCTGAAAGTAAAGCATGAGAATATTTTACAATGCAAGTGAGCGAGATTAACTAGCACAAATTAACACTTGGATGTAATCAAAGCATTGTGAGATCTTGAGTAAAACTCTCAGATAAATGCCAAACTTTTAATTTGTTGTTGACTGAATTCCAGTTAACAGTATTAATATACCAAGAAAAACCAATAAAATTCAAACGAACTTACATTGCTAGTCATCAAGTTGAAAGTTGTTCGGGTAGCCTCCTTATGAGTTAATAGGCTAAAATCATTGCTCAAAATGATTGAGCCGGTACTCGTCAGCAAGCGCAAGCGAACAGTTACAATAGAACCGCTAGTCAAAGGTACGTCGACCATGCAGTTATATTTCCTTAAAAAGTGTGTTTAACACTTGAAAAAGTTACCTTACTAATCCAGCATTGATTTTAAAAGTCTCAGTTGTTGAAACGTCTCCAATGAAATCCCCTCCTTTTGTAAATTGTAAATGTATCTTCAAGGAAAATAGAAACGTAAATAAGGAATACCTTGAGTTCATCATCTGGCTTCCATCCTGGTGTTATGCATCCTGATGGTCCTTTACAGTTCGAAGGGAAAAATACTTCAAACAACGACCACGACACAAAGCAGAAGTAACCGAGAGAAAAGGCTAACAAAATTTGAGACAACTTGAACATGTGCCAAGACGCGCTTTGCCTTGAAATGACCTTAGACACCGCAACAACTAGGAGCATCTTAACATTTGAAAACCAAGTTCTGCCTTCAACCTCAAAGAAGTCAGAGGGCCTTTTAGCTACTTGCATAGGTTTTCAGAATGGCTAAGGATGATAACTCAGGTTGACTTTTACCGAATAGTATGTATCCGTTTCTAACTCCGCCTGGAGCCCCTTTCCGGGGGCTACTGCCGGTCCCAAGCCCGGATAAAGGAGGAGGGTTGGGCATGGGGTTAGCGACCCCATCCCGTAGAAAACTAACTCGCTAAAAAAACGCTAACCAGAAAGAATTATTCAAACCATTTAAACTCTGCCCTGGGAGTCAGAAGGTCTTCGTTTAGAAGAATTATGACGCCTCACGATGAAAGCCGATTTTCTTCGGAAGTCACGAGGCCGATGCCCCTTCTGACAACCAGAGCAACTATTTATTTAGGTACATGGAATGCTCGCACAATGTGGGAGACTGGGAGAGTTTTCCAAATTGCTGCAGAAATGAGGAGATACAATTTAGAGGTGCTTGGGATCAGTGAAACACATTGGACGCAAGTTGGACAACGACTAGCTTCAGGGGAGCTGCTGTTATACTCCGGACATGAACAAGAAAATGCTCCACATACACAAGGAGTTGCATTGATGCTGTCCAAACAAGCACAAAATGCACTTATAGGATGGGAATCTCATGGACCAAGGATTATCAAAGCCTCCTTCAAAACCAAGAAAACGGGGATTACAATGAACGTCATCCAATGCTATGCGCCTACCAACGAATACAACGAAGACGCTAAAGATCAATTCTACGATAGGCTGCAGTCAATCGTCGAGAAGTGCCCAACAAAAGACCTGACTATTCTGATGGGAGACCTAAATGCCAAGGTTGGAACTGACAACACCGGATATGAAGAGATCATGGGACGACACGGACTGGGAGAAAGAAACGAAAATGGTGAGAGATTTGCAAATCTATGTGCCTTCAATAAACTGGTCATAGGCGGGACTATATTCCCACATAAACGCATACACAAAACCACATGGACTTCACCGGATCACAGCACACAGAACCAAATCGACCATATCTGCATCAACAAAAAGTTCAGGAGGACGATGGAGGACGTCAGAACAAAGAGAGGAGCTGATATAGCATCAGATCATCACTTGCTGGTCGCCAAGATGAAATTGAAACTCAAGAGGCACTGGACAACGGGGAGGACAATATCCCAAAAGTTTAATACGGCTCTTCTTCGGGATACTGACAAACTCAATAAATTCAAGATAACCCTCAGCAATAAGTTCCAAGCCTTTCATGATCTAATCAATGGAGAAGGAACTATTATGGAGAGCAACTGGAAAGAGATAAAAGAAGCAATCACTTCAACATGTCATGAGGTTCTGGGCCAAAAGAAGCACCATCACAAGGATTGGATCACGGTCGATACACTGGATAAGATTCAAGAAAGGAGGAACAAGAAAGCAGCAATCAATACCAGTCGAACAAGAGCAGAAAAAGTCAAGGCACAGGCTGAATACACAGAAGTAAACAAGCAAGTGAAAAGGAGCATCAGAACTGACAAACGTAAATATGTGGAGGATTTGGCATTGACGGCGGAAAAGGCTGCCAGAGAAGGAAACATGAGACAACTGTATGAAACAACAAAGAAACTCTCTGGAAATCACCGTAAACCAGAACGACCAGTGAAAAGCAAGGAAGGCAAGATAATCACCAACATTGAAGAAAAACGAAACTGGTGGGTAGAACACTTCAAAGAACTCTTGAATCGACCAGCCCCACTGAACCCACCCAACATCGAAGCAGCACTCACGGACCTCCCAATTGATGTTGGCGCACCAACAATTGAAGAGATCAGCATGGCTACCAGACAAATCAAGAGTGGCAAAGCAGCAGGACTAGACACCATTCCAGCAGAGGCACTGAAAGCAGACGTAGCGGCAACTGCAAGGATACTCCACATTCTCTTCAGAAAGATCTGGGATGAGGAACAGGTACCAAAAGACTGGAAAGAAGGACTTCTGGTCAAAATACCAAAGAAAGGCGATCTCAGCAACTGTGACAACTACAGGGGAATCACTCTTCTTTCAATACCGGGAAAAGTCTTCAACAGGGTATTGTTAAACAGGATGAAGGACTCCGTAAACGCCCAACTTCGAGACCAACAGGCAGGATTCCGTAAAGATAGATCGTGCACAGACCAAATCGCAACTCTACGGATCATTGTGGAACAATCAATTGAATGGAATTCATCACTCTATATCAACTTCATCGACTACGAAAAAGCATTTGATAGCGTGGACAGAACAACCCTATGGAAGCTTCTTCAACACTACGGCGTGCCTCAGAAGATAGTCAATATCATACAGAATTCCTATGATGGATTAAACTGCAAAATCGTTCATGGAGGACAGTTGACAAAGTCGTTCGAAGTAAAGACCGGTGTCAGGCAAGGTTGTTTACTGTCACCCTTTCTCTTTCTCCTGGTGATCGACTGGATCATGAAGACATCAACATGTGAAGGGAAGCACGGGATACAGTGGATAGCTAGGATGCAATTGGATGATCTAGACTTTGCAGATGATCTGGCTCTTCTATCGCATACACAACAACAAATGCAGGAGAAGACAACCAGTGTAGCTGCAGCCTCAGCAGCAATAGGTCTCAATATACACAAAGGGAAAAGAAAGATTCTTCGATACAACACAGCATATAACAATCCAATCACAATTGACGGAGAAGCTTTGGAAGATGTGAAAACCTTTTCATATTTGGGCAGTATCATCGATGAACACGGTGGATCTGATGCAGATGTGAAGGCACGGATTGGCAAAGCAAGAACAGCATATTTACAACTGAAGAATATCTGGGACTCAAAACAATTGGCAACCAACACCAAAGTCAGAATTTTCAATACAAATGTCAAGACAGTTCTACTGTATGGGGCGGAAACCTGGAGAACTACGAAATCCATCGTCCAAAAGATACAGGTGTTTATTAACAGTTGTCTACGCAAAATACTTCAGATCCGCTGGCCGGACACTATAAGCAACAACCTACTGTGGGAGAGAACAAATCAGATCCCAGTGGAGGAAGAAATCAGGAAGAAGCGCTGGAAGTGGATAGGACACACATTGAGGAAAGCACCGAACTGCGTCACAAGACAAGCCCTCACATGGAATCCTCAAGGTCGAAGGAGGAGAGGAAGACCAAAGAATACATTACGCCGGGAAATGGAGATAGATATGAGAAAAATGAACAAGAATTGGATGGAACTAGAAAAGAAGGCCCAGGACAGAGTGGGTTGGAGAATGCTGGTCGGCGGCCTATGCTCCATTGGGAGTAACAGGCGTAAGTAAGTAAGTAAGTATGTATCCGTTTCTATGTAATTTCTTTAGCAACCGTTTGGAGCAAGTTATTCTTCAAGACTTCAAGAAGGTTTAAACAGAATGAAAGAAGACTGTTTTTGAGAAGCTCAACCGCTGACTTGAAATTGAAACTGTATTAGTCAGATGAAAGTTTTTACATGATAACTATTTGAGACCTCAAGAAAATTCTGGCTTTTCGCTGCTGTTTAGCAACCTTGGAAGTGTGATTACTAAATATATAATTTTATTTGGTGTCATTAACTTCTACTCTGAACTCATGAAGTGTGACTGGTCACAAGTATATAAAGAGAAATGGTGTTGAAATGTTGGTTGAAAATCACGTATCAAATGTGGTGTCATCTAATTCGGGTGTAGTGCATTGACTGAGTATCCCGTATAGTGATAAAAAGTACTTTTCAGTCACCAGTCAGGTTGGGAGATTATTGGAGCTGACTGAAGAGTGAAGATGTTTTTGTGCATGCGTTTCATATATAGAAAGAGTCGTGTACACAGAACTAGATACTTACGATTGTGCACTGAAAACCAGCGGGACCCGATCGAGAAATATGGCAATTTTGTTGTGCTCCCCTCTTTTCATCAACCTTGAACGAATTGAGTAGTGCCATGCGTTCTGTGTTTAGAGTTTCTCGTGTCGACTCTATGTGTGTGAGCTAGCATGGTCTTCGGGTGTTCACATACTTACGTAGTCTGTTGGTTTCTGAAAATCACTAAATTCGTTCCAAACAACATTGACTGATTCTTCTTCTTTTTAAAGTGTTAATTTACACTTCCTTGTTTCTCAGATGCTTTTCAAGATGAAATTGGTTCAGTGGTTAAATTGATGAATCCTAAGGAGTGGAAAAAGTACACAATAGACTATCCGTACTTTATACGTTTGTTCTGAAAGTTATATCAGCATACATTTTGGTCTCGCAATTGTTAATCATCTTGGAGTCATCTTACAACACAAAGGATTTAAAGTTAGGTCAGTCAGTATTTCAAACACAAGTTAACGTTATCGTAATCACCACCTCCGATTGAAGTGATCAGAAGTGTTTATAAAAACGAACCAGTAACATTCATTTTGACGACGTAAAATGTTTAGAAGTCACAATGTCCATGTGCAAGTGAAGAATACAAAGTTTGTAAAAGCCTATCTAATTTTTCCTGTTACTTTACAGTGGCAAAAACACTTTGAGAATCTGTAGAAATATGGCCTTCTTCGTTAATAGCACTGTCATAATAATAAAACTAATCCTAAAGTTGTAGTCATGT